CGCACCGTGTCACCGCCGGGGCCGGACTCCCCGGGGCCGGGAGCACCGGGAGCACTAGGATTGCCTGCACACCCGTGGGTGGGTGTCCCGGTCCCCATCCTGGCCCCGATCCTGGTGCCCATCCTGGTTCTGGCCCTGGTGCTGGTCCCAGTCCTGGTGCTGGTCCTGGCTCTGGTCCCGGTGCTGGCCCCAGCCCCAGTCCCCATCCCGATCCCAGCCCTGGTCTCCATCCTGGTGCTGGTCCTGATCCTGGCCCTGATGCCAGCCCCAGCCCCAATCCCGGTCCCAGCTCTGGTCCCCATCCTGGTGCTGGTCCCAGCCCTGGTGCTGGTCCTGGCTCTGGTCCCAGTGCTGGTCCTGATCCCGGCTCTGGTGCCATCCCCAGCCCCATTCCCAACCCAATCACAGCCTTGGTCCCCATCCTGGCGCTGGTCCCAGTGCTGGTCCTAATCCTGGCCCTGGTGCTGGTCCTAGGCCTGATCCTGGCCCTGGTGCTGGTCCTGGTGCTGGTCCTAATCCTGGCCCTGATGCTGGTCCTCATCCTGGCCCCAGTCCTGGTCCCCATTCCAGCCCTGGTCCCAGGACTGGTGCTGATCCTGGCCCTGGCCCTGGTGCTGGTCCCAGGCCTGATCACAGACTTGGTGCTGGTCCTGGTTCTAGTCCCAGTGCCAGTCCCGATCCTGGCCCTGGTGCCGTCCCCAATCCCCCTCCCAGTTGCAGCCCTGGTCCCCATCCTGGTGCTGGTCTCAGTGCTGGTCTTGGTGTGGGTCCCAGTCCTGATGCGGTCCTGATCCCAGCCCCGGTCCCCATCGTGGCCCCGGTCCTGCCCGCGGCAGGTGACGCTCCCCCCTCTCTCCCCAGACCAGCATGAAGAACATGGAGCGGGAGCTGGTCTGCCCGGTGTGCAAGGAGATGTACAAGCAGCCGCTGGCCCTGCCCTGCGCCCACAACGTCTGCCACGTCTGCGCCAGCGAGGTGCTGCTGCAGCACGGCTACCTCTGCTGCGACCCCACCTCCGAGCCCTCCTCGCCCGCTGCCACCCCCGCCACCCGC